TTAAACACCAAAAACATGTAACAACTTAGCTATATAAAAAAATAAAATTTAAACTGAAAATAAAAAAATAAATTATATAAATAAAAGCTAATAAAAATATAAATACATCCTAAAATAGTATATAAAACTACATAAACTAGAATTAAAATGAAAACTGAAAATATAAAATAGAAATTAATAAAAGCTAATTAGAAATATCAATACAAACTAAAATAGTATATAAATAATACAAAAATAACAGATATGTATATGGGTCAAAGACGAAAAAGGGTTTAAGCATAAGAACAATAAGTGTAATACTGCTTTAAATTGTTGTTCTTTTTCCCAAAAAAATGTTTTTTAAGTTTTCTGTTTAATTTAATTGCAATTTTGTTTTTGTTTTTTGAGCAAAAAATAAATATCATACATTTTTCCCTGATTTACAGACGAGACCCACTAAAATGTCATTCAGTGTAACAATCTTGTCAGGCATATTTACAACAAAAATCAATTTATGACATTTTAAAAGACTAATTACTTTCACCCCAAATACTAATTAGTTGTAATTTTACATTTTTAAAATTTCCCACTATCCTAGGTTTTGCCTATTTGTCAGTAAGAATTCTTTTACTCATTTAAAACACAATAAAATTTAATATGCTCCCTTATTCTTTTATATATTTTAATATGTACAAGTCAGAATAAGCATGTTGTTTGAATTTGTACATAAATATTGTGTTACACTGAATGACAATGAAACATTATTTCAAACAAATTTTGACGTTTTATCCTTCAAAAACTAATTTGAAACCTTAAAAGTAGACGCTTTACTTACATTTAATGTGCTTTCTATGGACATAAAATCACTTTTGTACATTTCTTTTGATGCGGACATCTTAACGTCTTTGACCCATATACATGTCCCTCTCATGTTAAAATATATTATACCAAAAGAAAAAATTATGAGGATGTTAAAGACCTCAATGAAGAAGTTTATTGCAGCGTATAGCAGTAACAAACATGTAGCAGCCAAATGAACCCCGAGCATCCTAAACTCCAAGCTTTCATCCTGTTACAGTTTATTGCCCCTAATAAAAGCAGCTGTTCCTGTTGTGTCTGTATGTTAATGAAGTTCAGACACCTTATTGTCTGTGACGGCTCTCAGTTTCACACATCCGTTCCCATGCATGAGCATTTGCTCGGGATGTGATCGCCTCAAATGGTGCAGAGACAGTGAAACTGCTGACTTCTTTTCTTTTCTATGATAATTCAGCTGTTTGGGGGAATGGCCATGTTCTTACACTTATCCACAATGCAATGGGTAAAATGCAAAAGGGGTCCCTGCTCCATTCACCAATTAAAGGGTCCGTTGCCTAAAAAAGGCTTAGGATTAGTATGTCCATATGTGTGATTTTCTCAGGGTTTTCCAGTATCATAACATTTACACCCCAGCTGTTTTCTGTTGATGACTCACTGTAATGTGAAGTGTGTGCTGTCAAACTTCTGCAACTTCTCCAGAAGTGAAACATCCATCTAAACATTGATGTGGGAGCCTTGTATTATAAAAGAGTATAGGTGCAAAAACAGGAACTCTCTGGTTTAACAGTTAGAATGAGGATATTTATGAGTCATATATTCTTAGAACAAAGTACAGTTTTCACCGTTTCATTCTTAGTAATGTTGTTGTGGTGAACAGACATAGTAGGGGAAAGTCATTAGTCATAAAGAAATCCCTCAAAACAACCCCTAACCTGATGTACAAGCTTCAATCAAGGCTTTTCACACAGCTTAACCTTGAGAACATGCAGAAATATTGACACAGACACAGAATAACCAATATATAGTATTAATATGCCTGCTGGGGAATAAGTGGGCTAATATAACCCTATAAGAATGCCTATAATAGTCTAAAAAAGTAAATCAGTGAGATCTTTATAACAGTATAGCAGACTACTAATATAAAATACATGTAAATATCAGTTTTCACTCTGTATCTCCCAATAATGTGTCTTAGTAAGATGACTTAAATGTTTAGTTTTATGATCAATAGATCTGTAGTTTTTAATGTGGGGGGCAACACATATAATTTGATGCGATACAATGATGATAAATGACGACAAATAAATGTAAAGAAAAAAAGTAAACCAAAACTGCTTCAGTTCAGTAAGTGTTCATCTTGAAATATTACTAAAAGTTATTCTTACATTACAGGCCTTAGAGTTTTTACTGTAGGTTGATGTCAGCATGACATCCAAATAAAACTTTTCTAGTTCTGTTCTGTCAGACCGACCTGAGGTTATTTTACACTTTGATGTAATGCTTGGAATGTGTCATTTAGGATGTTTTGGTCTGTTTGTTTCTGAAAATAAAGTTAGTTCCACATGTAACAGAAAATCCCACATTTTCTTTATGAAGTGAGAAAATGACTGAGAAATGCAACAGAAATGAGTCATTCAGAGCTGACAGAATCTCAGACTGAGCACCTTGTACTTTACTTTTGAAGGGAATTTTGTAAGACGATTAAGTATAAAACTGTCCAAGTTGATGTGAGAGCACATCATTTCACTTTTACATCCTGCTTTTCCTACGTACATACCTGTACTTTATTACACGGCTCTCTGGAATACTTGATTCTGATTGGCTACGTTGTAACAGACTCATTTTCTTATCTTTAAGCTAAACGAAGCTAATCTAAGCATGATAACACAACACCGTGTGAAGGTTATTTTGCTGACTGTACATCACTTATTCTAAGTTCACACCACTTTCCAGATCAGTTTCCCCTGCAGCCCCCTCAGTGCCGCCAACACAAGCTTGTTTGTTTTCTTGCTGTGGTTTGGTTAAGGAAAGAGCTTGATCTCCTTCAGCCTCTCACCCAGCAGCGGCTGACAAACCACCAGAGCAGCAGTGCAGTAATGGATGCCTTATGGCCGCTCGCACCTCTGCCTTCCTGCTGTGAAGCTATCGCTGTGGTTGTTTTGAACTTCAACCTGTCCCACCCGTCATGCCGAGCAAGGGTGTTAAACCTAAATAACACAGAGGTTAGCCACACGGAACAACACACTGCATCTGATCCTTCACATACGACAGGTCTAGTGTAACCGATAGGGAAACACCTCATGCAAACATCAGCTACTGCTTTATTTACCCGACCTATTTATGAAGCACAAGGGTTTCACCTCACCCGACTGATTAAAAGTCAATTACAAAAATAGAACTTGTGACCTTTTGTTGTAAAACTTAAAATCAAATGGCAAGCATGATATGATTATTTATTTGATACTATTATAATAATCAGCCAAACATTATATAAAAGGTTATATTTTTGACCATTATAATATATATATATATATATATATATATATACACTGAACAAAATTATAAACGCAACACTTTTGTTTTTGCCCCCATTTTTCATGAGCTGAACTCAAAGATCTAAGACTTTTTCTATGTACACAAAAGGCCTATTTCTCTCAAATATTGTTCACAAATCTGTCTAAATCTGTGTTAGTGAGCACTTCTC